TTAGTAGAGATGGGGTTTCACCATGTTGTTCAGGCTGGTCTCGAACCCCTGACCTCAGGTTATCTGCTCACCTCAGCGTGAGCCACCGTGCCTAGCCGAGCAGGACCTATTTGAAGAAAGATGTATGTGCTGGAGTGTGGAAGACTTCAATAAATAGAGGTATTTACTTATTTTGAGGACATACAAAGCTTAGAAGTACTGATGCCCTTTTCCTGAGTCCTGAAGTCATTCTAGCCATCAACCTCTCGAGAAATGCTACTGGAACCATTTTACCATGGCACCAGAAATGCAAGTCCTTGACAAGGGCTTGGCTGAAAAGAAGTAAGTGGGGTGCAAACCACGTGTGCTCTATGTTACACAGAAGCTGTATTGAATCAGCAAATATTACTTGAGCATTTGCCAGGATTCCAGGTACGGTTCCAGGACTACATCAGAGCGATGAGCGGGGCAGCTGTCACACTTGCTTTCATTTGGCCTACATCCATTCCAGGCTGGATCTAGCATGCATGGCTGATTAAATCAACAAAGTGAACTTTTTGGATGGGTTTGGTGGCTCACGCCTTTGGAAAATCACAGCACTTTCGGAGTCCGAGGTGGGCGGATCATGAGGTCAGGAGATTGAGACCATCCTGGCTAACATGATGAAACCCCCTCTCCACTAAAAATAGAAAAAATTAGCCAGGAGTGGTGGCATGTGCCTGTAGTCCCAGCTACTTGAGAGGCTGAAGCAGGAGAACCACTTGAACCTGGGAGGCAGAGGTTGCAGTGAGTCGAGATTGTATCACTGCACTCCAGCCTGGGTGACAGAGGGAGACTACATCTCAAAAAAAAAAAAATTTTCCTTCAGTACCTCAATCACACTGGGCACCTTTCAACTGCTCATTGCCTCTGCTGCTAGTGCTACTATGTTGGAACAGTACAGATCTAGACCATCGTATTTGTAGAAAGTTCCGTTAGCACTGCTTTTAGATAGGATGGGAGAAATGATAAGTAAATTGATGAATCAGATATTTTGAGGTGGTAATTGGTGCTCCAGAGAGAACGAAACAATGGGATATGTTGTCAGGGGACAAGCGAGGTAGGGGTGGGCAGCAGTAGTTTAGAACCAAGCAGGAGGACTGGCTCTGAGGAGGTGACATCTGAGCACAGAGCTGAATGGGAAAGGTGAACCAGGTGAAGATGTTGTGGAAGACTGTAGCAGGCAGGGGGGTGGTGCGCATTTGGATCTCTGGATGAAAGCCCATATTCTAGGAAAAGTAAGATGGTGGCTTTGGAAGACCCCTTTAGTGTCAAGGGCATGAAATAGCAGGGTTTGGAACCCAACTTCTTTGTTGTCCACTGTGTTAGGCTGTTTTTAAATTGCTATATATACCTGACACTGGGTTATTTATGAAGGTTTAATTGGCTCACATTTCTGCAGGCAGTACAAGGGTGGCACTGGCATCTGCTCAGCTTCTGGGGAGGCCTCAGGGAGCTTTTACTCATGGTGGAAGGCATATTGGGAGCAGGCATGTCAGTATGGCAAAAGCAGGAGCCAGAGAGGGGAAGAAAGTGCCACAAACTTTTTTTTTTTTTCTCCTTTGAGACAGAGTCTCAACTTTGTCACCCAGGCAGGAATGCAGTGGTGCGATCAGGACCCACTGCAGCCTTGACTTTCTGGGCTCAAGCATTTCTCCCATCTCAGCTCCCTGAGTAGGTGGACAACAGGTGCATGCCGCCATACCTGGCTAATTTTATTTTTTGTAGAGATAGGGGTATTGCCATGTTGCTCAGGCTGGTCTAGAACTCCTGGGCTCAAGCGATCCACCTACTTCAGCTTCCCAAGGTGCTGGGATTACAGGCATGAAGCCCTTTGCCTGGCCACACTTTTTTCAATAACCAGATCTCTTGTGAATTAACTTATTACCAGGAGATTGCCGCTAAGGCATTCGTGAAAATTCCCCAGGCCCCAGCTCCAACACAGCATCACATTTCAACCTGAGATTTGGTAGGGACACAGAACCAAACCATATCCACTCTGTAAGCCTGGGCAGGCTTCCTAACCTATCCCAGCATGAATTTCTTTTGTGTTTGGGTTGTACATTTGCTTCCTGAGACTGTGGGCATCCTTTGTGAAATGGTAGTACTGTCATTGATTCGAAAACTGAGTGATGTAAAGATGAGCAGCAGCCTTTGGCAGATCCTCCTCTAGGCTCTACTTTGGGGTCTGAGATCCACAAGTCCCAGTTGGCAGCCTGTGGTCCAGTGGAGGAGACAGATGCGGAAGGTTATCCAACAGGGAGCTTGGCAGCACTGAGGGAATGATGAGAGAGGAGAGGAGCAGGGAAGCCGAGAGCTTTCCGGACAAAGAGGAAAAGTGACGGGGTACTGTGCCTGGGGATTAGGGGCACTGAGGGTAAGTACTCTTCTGGATCTCCCCCACAATAAGCTGCTAAAAAGATAATTACTGTTAAATTTTGGACTGGTATACCTGGTTAATCAGCATTCACTGGGAAACAGCACAGTGAGGAAGACAGCTGCCTAATGCTGTTTCTCACCCTGGAAGAAAAGCAGCAGAGAGGAAGAAATACTTGTGACACAAGAAAATCGTGTCGAGGGAGAAAGCAGTGGCTCCCATCAGCCCCACATGCTACGCCTGGACTTTGGTACCTAATCACTTTGGGTGAAGAAACCCAGGCTCTGTCGGGTGTGGTGGCTCATGCCTGTAATCCCAGCATGGGAACCAGAGGCGGGCAGATCACGAGGTCAAGAGATACAGACCATCATGGCCAACGTGGTGAAACTCCCTCTCTACTAAAAATATAAAAATCAACTGTGCATAGTGGCATGTGCCTGTAAACCCAGCTACTGAGGAGGCTGAGGCAGAATTGCTTGAAACTGGGAAGCGGAGGTTGCAGTGAGCTGAGATCACACCATTACACTCCATCCTGAGCAACAGGAGCGAAACTCCATCTCGAGAAAAGAAAAAATGTAATTGAAAGAAAAATGAAGGCCGGGCGCTGTGGCTCAAGCCTTTAATCCCAGCGCTTTGGGAGGCCAAGGCGGGTGGATCACAAGGTCGAGAGATCGAGACCATCCTGGTCAACATGGTGAAACCCCGTCTCTACTAAAAATACAAAAAATCAGCTGGGCATGGTGGTGCGTGACTTGTAATCCCAGCTACTCAGGAGGCTGAGGCAGGAGAATTGCCTGAACCCAGGGAGGCGGAGGTTGCGGTGAGCCGAGATCGCGCCATTGCACTCCAGCCTGGGTAACAAGAGCGAAACTCCGTCTCGAAAAAGAAAAAAGAAGAGTGAATTATGCTTTCAAGTAAAGAAAAGTTACTTGAAGCGAAATAAGTTCCCAGAAGTCCTGAGGAACAGGATATAGAGGGGGCACGCCCCCAAAGTGAAAATAACTCAAAAGCTTATTTGGGGGAAGAGGTTGGAAATAGGTGCTCTAGTGTATCTGATCTATCAAGAAGAAAAACCACTTCAAGCGTAGACTGGCAATGGTTGAAACTTAAAAGCGTGGCTCCGGTCCTGGTGTACAGTTGTGCCACCTCGCTGGAAGGCCGGTCTGGATTGCAGGGCGGTGGTACGGCCACTGGCCGTGGGCAGAACCTAGCATGGGGCTGACTCCCTGGCGCCTGTCAGTGGCGGGCACCTCCAGGCGAACCTCCGCAGCGCGCAAACTGGAAGCCCAGAGAGGCCATAGTTTATATTCAAGGATTTGGAGGGGGATGGGGGGGGCGCGCCTGCTGTGGCCTCAGCGGAAAGTCTCCCCCAGCCTGTGAGGTCCGGAGAGCTGCTTGCAGGTGGGGCATGAGTGGAAGCTCCTGGCGCTTCCCTGTTGCCCCATGTAGACCGAGGACAAGTCCCCGTCAACTGGCACTGGGGAGAATAGTAGCGGAAGCTTGTGTCCCGGAGGCTGCTGGGAGTTGTAGTTCTTATAAGTGACAGTTCTGGGCGTGGCCAGAAGTTACAACTGCTTTTCCAGTTGTGGGGGGAGGCGGGCGGTTAGCGTGGCCGTCCACCGTGTGTGGCCGGTGCTATTCTGGGCAAAAGGGTCGACATGTGGTTGTGGCCTCGGATCGCCGAGTGCGAATGACGGACTCAGCGGATTCTTTGAGAGGCCAAGGCCAGTCCAGTTCCAGCAGACCCGTGCAGGCAGCAGCTGGTCACTGAAAGGTGCTTTTTCTTTTTATTTTTTTTTCTTGAGAGGGAGTTTCACTCTTATTACCGAGGCTGGAGTGCAATGGCGCGATCTCGGCTCACCGCAACTTCCGCCTCCTGGGTTCAAACAATTCTCCTGCCTCAGCCTCCTGAGTACCTGGGATTACAGGCGCGCGCCACCATGCCCAACTAATTTTTGTATTTTTAGTAGAGGCGGGGTTTCACCACGTTTACCAGGATGGTCTCGATCTCTTGACCTCGTGATCCACCCGCCTCGGCCTCCCAAAGTGCTGGGATTACAGGTGTGAACGACTGCGCTCAGCCTGAAAGATGCTTTTTTATTTTTGAGACAGCCGCAGTTGTTCCACACTAGCAATTTTCTGCGCTGCGACAGTTTTTCTGCGTCGTAATAATCACACTATAACTAGTGCCGATTTTCCTGCTTACAAAGGAGTTTTAAACGATTTTCTTGAACGGTGTTCTAACAGTACCTGTTTTTCCAGTTTTGTTCTAACAAACCACTCGGGGCCGGAATTGTATGATGTGGAAATAAAGACCAGGCCACCCAAATGAGGACACGCAGAGGTTGACTCAAAGCCAGGTATAGCAGGGAGCCAGTCACGGCCCCTTGTGTTCCGTAGAGAGAATCAAAGGCAGACAGGGTGTGAGGAATATATAAACAAATTGTGATCTCTCTTGTTACCATCCATCTTTGGTAATAGCCATCCTAGCGGTGTGAAGTATATTCCACTGTGATTTTGACTTGCATTTCCCTGGTGAATAATGATGTTGAACATCTTTTCATGTGCTTGTTCTCATTTGTCTTGCTCTGCTTTTGACTTACAGGGTTTCCTGAGCTTCAGTTGGACCCTAAATTGGATCCTCTTTCTGCTGAGAGCCCCCTGATGAACATTGAGGTTGTTGAGGTCCTCACACTGAACCAGGAGGTGGCTGGTCCCCGGAATGCCCAGATTCAGGCCCTGTATGCTGAAGATGGAAACCTGAACCCAGATTTCCCCAGTAAGCAGGTCCAACAACTCATCAAGCATCCAGGTGACCCTGAGGCCGCTCGTCAGAGGTTCCGGCAGTTCTGTTATAAGGACATGACAGGTCCCCAGGAGGCCCTAGAGCAGCTCCGAAAGCTGTGTCACCAGTGGCTACAGCCTGAGGCGCGCTCCAAGGAGCAGATCCTGGAGCTGCTGGTGCTGGAGCAGTTCCTAGGTGCACTGCCTGTGAAGCTCCGGACATGGGTGGAATCACAACACCCAGAGAACTGCCAAGAGGTGGTGGCCCTGGTAGAGGGTGTGACCTGGATGTCGGATGACGGAAGGTAAGTAGAAGGGTGGGTAGAGGGACAGCTTAATGAGGGTGTCCTGGAGGACCCTGTGGGGGAGATAAGAACCCCAGGCTTCCTGGGAGGGTTGTGGGAAACATTGTGCCCACTCCATACAGACCAAGGACATCCATGTTCCCCATGTGTTCCTGAGCCTGAGCTGCTAAAACCCCTGTATTCTTTGAGTAACCCTTCATGGGCTTCTGATGGAAGCACACAAATAAAGTGCTTCATTTTCATCCCTCTGGCATTTCTGCTGCACCACAAGCCCCTCTAGCACTTGATAAGATAGGACTACTGAGCTCATAGAGCCTACAGTAGCAGGAGAGATAGGGATTTGACAAATGAGAATGCATAGAACAATGCTGAGATTAAGAGGAGAGCGAGGTGATGGTGAGGCTCATGAAGGTCTGCAGCTGACACCTGGTGTCAGGTAGAACTTGGCCAGGGTAAACAAAGGGGCAGGAAAGATAGGCTCTGCAGAGGAGAGCACTGAATGTAAGGACCAAGATGGAAGGAATCACAGTAAATGCAAAACCCAGAGAAAAATCGAGTGTGTCTGTGATGTAAGGGAGCAGAGGGTGGAGCTGGCACAGCCAATGGGGACTTTTGTTCTAAAGCAATGCAAAATGTTCTTCTAAAACCATGGGACTTGGCCGGGCATGGTGGCTCATGCCTGTAATCCCAGCACTTTTGGAGGCTGAGGCAGGTGGATCATGAGGTCACGAGTTCAAGATCAGCCGGGCCAACATGGGGAAACCCTGTCTCTACTAAAGATACAAAAAGTTAGCCAGGCATGGTGCTGCGTGGCTGTAATCTCAGGAGGCTGTGGGAGGAGAATTGCTTGACCCCAGGAGGCAGAGGTTTAAGTGAGCCAATATTGCGCCGTTGAACTCCAGCCTGGGTAACAGGATGATACTCCGTCTAAAACAAAAACAGTGGGACTTGATCCCTGAGTTTCAGAAATTGGTGGCACCATTGGATTTGACCTTTAAAGATGAATCAGGCTGTGTGTATGATGGATGGTGGACAGGGGATGGGGGTGAGGCTGGACACACACAGGCAGCTATTCCCATGCCCTCTGATGGGGTGGTGTCTTGCATAGGAGTGACGGTGGTGACAGACTGTGGAGAGAGTACACATGTGGCGTGTGTATTTGGGAGTAAGACTCCAAGACTTGATTTCTTCTTTAGGCTGAGTTTCACAGAATATGTGTGCTCCTGCATTGCTCACCTCCATTTTCCACATTTACGGGTGCCCAGAAGACATCTCTGATGTGAATGAATGATTGACTGGTTGATGTTTGTAATTGAAGGGAAAGAGAAGGTATCCTGAAGGGGGATGTTGAGATTCTAAGAGGTCAGGACATTCTGGATATGTGGGTATCCAAGGCAGCAGGGCAAGCACTTTGCATGAGTTGTTTCAGATGCCCCAAGTCTGGGGTGCTGTACTTGGCAGAATAATTGCCCCAAAGGTGTCCATGTCCTGACTCCTATACCCTGTGAATTAGTTGTCTCACATGACAAAGGGGACTTTGAAGAAACAATTAACTTAAGGATATGCAAATGGAGAGATACACTGGATTATTTGGGTGGATTTAACATAACCACAGGAGTCCTAAGGAGAGGGAGGCTGGTGGGTCAGAAGAGATGTAATGGTAGAAGCAGGTGATAGAGGAAGAAGCCATAAGCCAAGTGTTTGAGGTGACCTCTAGAAGCTGGAAAAGGCAAGGAGTGGATTCTCCCATGGAGCCTACAAAAGGAACACAGCCATGCTGATACCTTCCTTTTAACCAAGTGAGGCACAAACCAGACTTCTCATTTCCAGAACTCTAAGGTAATACATTTGCATTAATCTGAGCCAGTGGCATTTTGGCAATTCACTATAGTACCAACAGGAATCTAGTTAGGTGCCAAGGAGACAGTTGTGGGGTTAATGAGATGAAAATCAGTGAATTCACCCTGATTATAAAAAGCAAATAAAAAGAAAAAGCACCATTCAACCTCAGAATGAAATAAATTAGTGCCCCAGAAGACAATGGGAAGAGGCCTTCCAGAGAACCCCGAGGATCCCACATTATGTGATCAGTGTGTTAGTTGGGACCCTGGGGTGTGACTGCCACAAAGCCTTGCACAGAATGGCTCAAAGGAGAAGGAGAATTATTGAAAAAGTTCCAGGATGCTCTAGCATTAGGCAGGGCTGGACCCAGGGGCTCTAATAGTGTACTCCAGACTTGTCCTGTCTCCCATTCTTACTTCTTCTGCCCTCCACTGGCTTCATTCATGGGCAGGCTATCTCCCTGCCCATGGGATTTCTCTTTCCCAAGTATTCTAGCTTAAAGCCTGTTGGCTCCAATCATCTGGCTATAGGCTTTGTTCATCCCATATCTAGTCACTGTGGCCAGGAGAAAGGGATGATCCAGTGAGTCAGCCTAAGTCATCTCATGGCCCACCTTGATGGGGAGGGTGGATTAGCGTTGTGGAAGCCTGTGGGCCATGTGCGGTCATGTGAGGAAGGTTAGACATGAAGGAGCCATGGTTAGAGGGGCCATAGGGCTAGATGGAGCTGTCGTTTTCTTAGCTGGGAGGAGACTTGGTGACGTTCACTTCAAGATGGCTGCATGTCATGGGTCCAGGGAGTGTCTCACCTTTCATGAGGTGGGGAGGAGACAGGGAGGAAGGAAAGGGTGCCCAAATAGGCAGGATCGAGGGCTTGGGGGCCAGAAACAGGGGCTTTGACTCTAAGGAGGCAGTGTGAGGCAGCTGCCTCACAGGAGGAGCTGGGGCCCACAGCCGTCCTTGGAGAGGGAAGGACCAGGGTCTCGGCAGTGAGGACACTGGTTCCCTGCGGCTCTTGGAGGGTGAGCCGTCCTGGGCCCATCCAGGTGTGGGCACTCGGGAGGGGAGCTGAGCTGGTGAGAAGGGAGGACAGGAGCAGAGGCGCCGTAGTCTTGGCGCCGTAGTACAGTGTGGGTGTGCAGTGGCCTGACAGTTGCAGAGAGGCCACCGTTGCCCTTTCCAAGGGTTCCCACACCTGCTGACCCCCTCTGGCTGGTGTCTTCTCTCAGTACTTCCTGCAGAACAACCTGCCAAGGGCACCGCCTGCTGCCCCAAGGTCACTGCCCAGCAGGAGAAGCAGCAGGAGGATGCAGCCATCTGCCCAGTGAAGGTGCTTCCTGAGGTAAGCAGGGAGTGTTGCCCTTTGTTCACAGCATCTCCCGTGAGGCAGGCCCGCCCATGAGACATCCACCCTGCCCTGGGCTTTCCTAAGATCTCCCACAGGCTGGGTCATTCTGAGATTCTGGGCTCTTAGGTCCATGCTGGGCCCTGAAGCAATCTGAGTGTGAAGGGCAGCCCTGCCTTCCAGCTACCGTGGCGTCACTGGAGACAAGCCATGGTGACTGGGAGTTGAGAAAGCAAGAGGCAAGAGGGAAGGGACTCACCAAGTGTTTACAGAGACTTGAGAGATGTAACTATCACAGGCAGGCACATCTGTATCTAGGTCAGAACAAGAGAGCCCTCATCCTTAAGAAATGCATACTAAGGTATTTATCTTTGTAGCTCTTTTGGTATCTGGGATTTGCTTCAGAATAACCCAGAGCTGGGGTGTGTATGAAACAAGATTGGTCCTGATGCACTAAGCACTGGGGTAGTGGTATGTATGTGGCATTGGTCAGAACTGTTTGCATTGCAAGTGGCTTATACTGACCCAAGTAGTAGAAGTAAATTTATTGGCTCTCATGTATTCTGTAGTAGGCTTTAGGCAAGGCTGCATCCAGGTGCTCCCAGGTGAGGGGAAGAATCTCTGGCCAACCTGTTTCATGGTTCTATTCTTAGACAGATTCTGCCCCATGTAAGCAAAATGCCTCCCAGATCCTGGCAAAGCAGGGTTGGAGGAACCTCTTCTTCCCAAAGTCCTGCTCAGTTCCCCAGGAAGTACCAGTCATGGCTGTGCCAGGGTGGCTGCCCACTCCCAGATCAGCCCCATCCACAAAGGCAGGGGCTTGGTTGTCATTTCCACTAAGTGGGAAGACAGTACTAATAGATGGAGAAGGCTCTGCAGTGGGAACATGTCAGCACTGGGCAAGCTGGATAGAGCCATGGTTAGGATGAAGTTGGTTGCTTGTTGCACTTGGGCCTCTTTGTGAAGCAAGGGCTCTGCCTCCCAGCCTGAAACCCAGACCTTGGTTTGGACCCAGTAGACCTCGTGTGGGCCCTGGGTTGGTGTCTCTGAGTAAATCCCCAAAGCAGGAGAGTCCCTAGCACAGTGAGCTCTGTCAGAACCTCCCAGCTGGCCTTTCTTCTGCCTTCATTGACAACCCTCTGACCCTCCTGTTGAGCACAGACACATGTGTGATGTTACAGGAGCCAGTGACCTTCCAGGATGTGGCCGTGGACTTCAGCCGGGAGGAGTGGGGGCTGTTGGGCCCGACACAGAGGACTGAGTACCGCGATGTGATGCTGGAGACCTTTGGGCACCTGGTCTCTGTGGGTAAGGCCCTGCCCCCTCCTCAACCACCTCAGGGCTGGTAGGCCATAGGATTCCGAGTCAGGGGTGTTCATCTTCTCTGGGCTCCACACTGGGCATTCCCTCAAGTGGCCCTTGCTCCATCCAAAGGCTGTAAGTGGAACTGTACACCTGGAGGGGTGGGGGCATTGGGTGGCCAGAAGCAGCCTTGGGTCCAGTGAAGAAGTGATTTGCTATCTGCCCTGAGGCAGTATGATAGAACAGGAATTGAAAGAGCTTGGAGGACACTCCCTGCCCTCCCTGTCCCTTGTTCACCAAAGTCCATGCTCTCCTCCCTGCTGCTTCATTGCTTTTCAGTCTCTCTTCAGGTTGCATGACTATATGGAAAAAAAAAAAATCCTGACTTTTGAACTTAATTGTGTCTTTCATGCTCTCAGCCCCATCCCACCACATCTACTATGGTATCCACATCTTTTTTTTTTTTTTTTTTTTTTTTCAGGTTGGGAGACTACACTGGACAATAAGCAGTTAGCTCCAAATTCTGGCATTCCTGGGGAAGAACCAGCTGCCAGCCTGAAAGTGCAAAAATCCTCGAGGGACTGTGCCTTGTCCTCTACATCAGAAGACACCTTGCAGGGTGGGGTCCAGGAAGTCCAAGACACAGGGTTGAAACAGGGGGAGTCTGCTCAGGAAAAAGAGCTCCCTCACAACCCTAAGTCCCAGGCAAACAGTGGTGCTCTTGACACAAACCAGGTTTCACCCCAGAAAATTGACAAACTTGAGTCCCAGGCAAACAGTGGTACCCTTGACACCAACCAAGTTTTGCTCCAGAATCCTCCTAGAAAACGATTGCGCAAACGTGACTCACAGGTCAAAAGCATGAAACGTAATTCACGAGTAAAAATTCATCAGAAGAGCTGTGAAAGGCAAAATGCCAGGGAAGGCAATGGTTGCAGGAAGACCTTCAATCGGAGTACTAAACAGATTACGTTCATAAGAATTCACAAGGGGAGCCAAGTTTGCCGATGCAGTGAATGCGGCAAAATATTCCGGAACCCAAGATACTTTTCTGTGCATAAGAAAATCCATACAGGAGAGAGGCCCTATGTGTGTCAAGACTGTGGGAAAGGATTTGTTCAGAGCTCTTCCCTCACACAGCATCAGAGAGTTCATTCTGGAGAGAGACCATTTGAATGTCAAGAGTGTGGGAGGACCTTCAACGATCGCTCAGCCATCTCCCAGCACCTGAGGACTCACACTGGAGCTAAGCCCTACAAGTGTCAGGACTGTGGAAAGGCCTTCCGCCAGAGCTCCCACCTCATCAGACATCAAAGGACTCACACTGGGGAGCGCCCATATGCGTGCAACAAATGTGGAAAGGCCTTCACCCAGAGCTCACACCTTATCGGGCACCAGAGAACCCACAATAGGACAAAGCGAAAGAAGAAACCCCCTACCTCATAACCCTCAAGCCAGTTGAAGAAACAGTGCTTCTTCAGCTCAACCTTGCAGTGTAACATGCACAGGCCTGCTTGTGAATTGGCAATGTGAAAGGGAAGCACTGAGTGAGGACATTGACAAGACCAAAGGACAACTGGAGAGACTGCCCAGCACATCATGAATAAATAAGAAAATGGAGTTACTAACATGAGTTGGAAAAAATAATTTTCCATTCAGTTGATACTGTCTATTCACTCATTTAGTCATTAAAAGTGAAGTAATAAAATCTGAAAATGTTACATAATAAGTTTTAAAAGCCAGGTAATTAATAATCTGCACTGATACTACATTTACAGTACCACAGTAAAGTATTTATGTGTATAAATAAGGATCAAAAGAATGTGGATAAACTATTGATCTATGTCTGTGTAGATAGAACCTGTGCATTTCCTGCTTAAATATTTCTACAGTAATGATTGATATTTAAGCAACATTAAAACAAAAGGAAGGAGATTATCAGTTCTAGAAGATTAGATACTATGCGAATTGAGATAAGTGGATCTTTCTCCTCCTTAGGGTGTTGTCATGATACGGTTAGGTGAAGGTAAGGAAAACTAAGGCACTCAAAGGGCTGGAAACCCCAGGCAAGTGTGGGAGCTTCCTGGGAATATTCATATTTCTTTTATTTTTTTTACACAGAATCTTGCTCTGTCATCCAGGCTGGAGTGCACAGGTACTATCATAGCTTACTGTAGCCTCGAATTACCTGGGCTCAAAGGATCCTCCTGCCTCAGCCTCCCAATAGCTGGAACTACAGGCATATACCACTGCGCTACAGCCTGGGCAACAGTGTGAGACTGTCTCAAACAAAAAAAAAAAACATACACGAGAGAAGATCCTGGAATTCTTTTTCTAGGGATGTAATGCTTACAGATAAAATGCTTCCGTGGACTACAGTGCATCTAAAACATGAAATCACTGACACATGCACCATACAGAAGTTGTTATCCAGTAGTGTGATCTCACAAGGATTCTTGTAATTCTGCCCCCGCCCCCCGAGTAGCAGGAAGTACAGGGGCAGCCGACAGGCATGGCTAATTTTTTTGTATTTTCAGTAGAGACAGCGTTTCGCTGTGTTGCCCAGGCTGGTCTCGAACTCCTGATTTCAGGCAGTCCGCCTGCCTCGGCATCCCAAAGTGCTGGGATTACAGGCCTGAGCAACAGCGCCCGGCCCACACTCGAGGTTGTGGTATTGGACGCTGTGCGAACGATTTTTACCTTTCTCTCAAAAGTCACGATTCACTGTCACTGCTGTAAGAACGTGCGGGGCCGTTCAGCATAGCCAGCACGGGTCTGAGCGACGAGGGTCAGTCTCATTGCACAGGCAATGGAGCGGCTCCCTGGATGCTTTCCAAGGCCAGGTGTCCGCCTCCAAGTGCGTCAAAGGCTGCAGGCCCGGGAGAGGCTGACCAGGGCCCGAGGGAGGACAAGCGGGGACGCCGGCGGAAGGGTCAATGGCGGAGTCGCGACCCAGCCGAGCCCACAGCTCTGGGAGGCTGGTTCCGCCTCTCTCCCGAAGCGCAGCAGCCTTGAGCACCAGGACACAATCGCCGCCTTCCCCGAGTCCACGGTCGAGACTAGAAACTACAAGTCCCGAAAGACCGCGCGGCGCAGCCCGCGCAACAGACCTACCCAATCAGCGCGCCGCTCCGACCCAGCGGCGACGGGCCGTGCCCAGAGTCACGCTTTGCCAAACGAGCAACGTGTCTCGTCCAATCAGCGTCTCGTCCGCCGCGTTCGCTCCAGGTCTTCCCCACCCGGATTCTCGCCTCCTCCAAACCGCCTCCAGCCCGTTCCTGCGGCGGTGCCTGGCCCCGTCGGTGGTTGGTGCCTCTTGGCGCCCACGCCTGGTGGAAACGGACTCAGGGCTATCTCGGCGACAGCCGGGAGTAGGGCGCCCTGCGGCTGGCGGCGGCCCCCGCGGAGGCGGACGGCCCCGGACCTGTGCAGGCTCGCCTCGCCCCTGGGGACCCCGTCCTCGGCCTGAGGGCGGTGCCGGGGGCTTGGGAACCAGAGCAATTGCGTCTTGAATAGGGGCTTGGTGAGCTAAGGCTAAGACCGGTCGGTCGGCGTTCCCGGTAAGTTAAGGCATTCTTAGTCTCAGGATGAGATAGGAGGTCTGTACAAGATACAGGTCATGGCCGGGCGGGGTGGCTCGCACCTGTTAATCCCAGCATTTTGGGAGGCCGAGGCGGGCGGATGACGGAAATCGAGACCATCCTGCCAAACATGGCGAAACCCTGTCTCTCCTAAAATTAAAAAAAAAAAAAAAAAAAAAAAAAAAAAAAAAAAAGCCGGGCGTGGTGGTGCGCACCTGTAGTCCCAGCTACTCGGGAGGCTGAGGCAGGGGAATCACTTGAACCCGGGAAGCGGAGATTGCAGTGAGCTGAGATCCGGCCACTGCACGCCAGGCTGGTGACAGAGCAAGGCTGGCCCCGTCTCAACAACAAAAACGAAAAGCAAAACAAAAACAAACAAAAACCTTGCTGATAAAACAGCTTGCAGTAAAAAAGCCCGCCAAGCCAGGCTCGGTGGCTCAAGCCTGTAATCCCAGCACTTTGGGAGGCCGAGGCGGGTGGATCACGAGGTCAAGAGATCGAGACCATCCTGGTCAACAAGGTGAAACCCCGTCTCCACTAAAAATACAAAAAGTTAGCTGGGCATGGTGGCGCGTGCCTGTAATCCCAGCTACTCAGGAGGCTGAGGCAGGAGAATTGCCTGAACCCAGGAGGCGGAGGTTGTGGTGAGCCGAGATCGTGCCATTGCACTCCAGCCTGGGTAACAAGAGCGAGACTCCGTCTCAAAAAAAAAAAAAAAAAAAAAAAAAAAAAAAGCCCGCCAAAACCCACCAAAAACAAGAGCCACGAGAGTGACCTCTGGTCATCCTCACTGCTACACTCCCACCAGCGCCATGACAGTTTGGAAATGCCTTGGCAACATCAGGAGGTTACCCTACATGGTCTAAAAACGGAGGCATAAATGATCCACCCTTTGTTTAGCATATCATCAAGAAATAACCATAAAAATGGGCCACCAGCAGCCATCTGGGCTGCTCTCTTCTATGGAGTAGTCATTCCTTATTCCTTTATTTTCCTAATAAACTAACTTGCTTTCACGTAATGGACTAGATTTGAATAATTTATTGCATGAGATCCACAAACCCTCTCTAGAGGTCTGGAACGGGGACTGCCTTTCCAGTAGCAGTGAGAGCCCAGACTAGAGCTCCAGGGTTCCTGGGCTGGGTGGTCCCAGGCGCCCAGGGGATTGGGACCATAGGGAGAGGTTGATGGTCTCCTCATCAGGCTCAGATGCACAAGCGTTGTGCTTCCCTGGCCCTCAGTCACAGGTGAGGGGCATCCCTTTCCTGCCTTGGAAATGTCCCAGCGCCTGCCTTTCCTAGACACCCAGCCTGGCTGCCCTCACCCACCTGGTCTGGCCAGGGATGCTTGCTGAAGAGTCTGGCTGCGCATCACTCGAGCCGTGTCCTGAGCAGAAACCTGGAAGAAACGTGAGGAGATCTGCCAGGACCAAGCATCTCCAGGTTCGCCTGGCAGGGGGAATATCGAGATGCATACCACACCAACTTGTGTTTTGCCATATCCAGGACCCTCAGTCTTATTAGCTGAATTTTTTTTTTTCTTTTTTTTTTTTTGACATAGAGTCTAGCTCTGTAGCCCAGGGTGGAGTGCAGTGGCATGCACTCAACTCACTGCAACCTCCATCTCCTGGGTCTGGTTCAAGCAATTCTCCTACCTCAGCCTCCCAAGTAGCTGGCATTACAGGCACCAGCCACCATGCCCAGCTAATTTTTGTATTTTTTAGTAGAGACGGGTTTCACCATGTTGGCCAGCCTGGTCTTGAACTCCTGACCTCGCAAATCTGCCCACCTCAGCCTCCCGAAGTGCTGGGATTAAACGTGGGAGCCACCACACGCAGCCGGTGAATAATTTTTTTAATCCATGCGTTAAAATTCAAAATTTATAAACTGATTTAAAAGTGGTCTTTCAGATTGGACGCTGTGGATCAGGCCTGTAATCCCAGCACTTTGGGAGCCTGAGAGGGGTAAATTGCTTAAGCCCAGGAGTTTGAGTCCAGCCTGGGCAACACAGCAAGACCCCATGTCTGGAAAAAAGAAAAAGAAAAAAGCTGGTCATGGTGGCACACACTTGTAGTCTCAGCTACTTGGGAGGATGGCTTGAGTCAGTTGGAGGCTGCAGTAAGCGATGGTTATACCTCTGCACTCCAGACTGGGCAGCAGAGGGAGACCTTGTCTCAAAAAAAACAGGGGGTGGGGGCGGGGCCTTTTGGCCATTTACTTGCCAAAACAAACGTGAGTTAAATACAGTTGATTAGGGGCCGAGCACAGTGGCTCACACCTGTAATCCCAACGCTTTGGAAGGGCAAGGTGGGTGGATCACTTGAAGTCAGGAATTCGAGAACAGCCTAGGCAACCTGGTGAAACCCATTCTCTACCAAAAATACAAACATTAGCCAGGCATGTCTATACTCCCAGCTACTTGGAAGGCTGAGGCAGGAGAATCCCTTGAACACGGGAGGTGGAGGTTGCATTGATCCAATATCACACCACCGCACTCCAGGCTGGACAATAGAGTAAGTGACACTTCATCTAAAATAATAATAATAATAATAAAAGTGATCTAAAAAGGAAAATGGCAAAAGTTAACATAATTTTTTTTTTTTTTGAGACGGAGTTTCGCTCTCGTTACCCAGGCTGGAGTGCAATGGCGCGATCTCGGCTCACCGCAACCTCCGCCTCCTGGGTTCAGGCAATTCTCCTGCCTCAGCCTCCTGAGTAGCTGGGATCACAGGCACATGCCACCATGCCCAGCTGATTTTTTGTATTTTTAGTAGAGACGGGGTTTCACCATGTTGACCAGGATTGTCACGATCTCTTGACCTTATGAACCACCTGCCTCGGCCTCCCAAAGTGCTGGGATTACAAGTGTGAGCCACCACACCCGGCCAACATAATTTTTAACACGAATAACGATGTAGGGAGTGTCTTACCAAAATGAAAGTGTGTACTGTTAAGCCGAAGTAATTAAAACTGTGACCCTCGAGCAGATAGAGACAAATCTATGAATGTAATTAATGTGGAAAGTTTTTTAGCTGGTGCTCTCACCTTGTTAGACATTACAGAACTCATATTGGAGATTCTGGGAATATTAGGAATGTTAGAGAGCTTTCAGCAGGAGAGCTCACCTAATTGGGCATTAGTAAATACACACTGGGTGGGGTGCAGTGGTTCATGCCTGTAATCCCAGCACTTTGGGAGGCTGAGGTGGGTGGATCACAAGGTCAAGAGTTCAAGACCAGCCTGGCCAACATGGTGAAACCCCATCTCTACTAA